CTGATGGTTGAAAGAGCTTGTCCAGAAGCTGTTTCAGGGCAGATTGTTGGGCTGAGCATTGTAACGATTTCTCACCTTTCAAGAAGTTTGTAGGTTGCCAGAATGTTTCTCTCTTAAACAGAAGTTTTCGGTGAACTCAAGGTGCAGACTTTGCAAATACCAAGCAAAAACAGTTCTGAGGGGGTTTTGCAAGGGAAAACCTCTCCCTTCTGTTACAAAAAACATGTTGTGATTTTTTGCAAACAACATCATCAAGTAGTTGAGTTTGCAGTAGCCCCTGTTGAAGACAAAGACCTCCAAGTATTCTGTGGAAAATTTAGTTTAATGTAATTAACCTTCAGGCAAAGTTTGAAACTAGTAATATTTTTTTCTGTGAGTTCAGTTTCTGAAGAATTTAGCCTGCATCACTGGAGGAGCTGGATAACCTTAACAGGATGGTGGAAATCATGCTGAGTAAGTTGGGAATGAGAGGTAAATTTGATAAACTGCCAAGAGAAAAATGTGCTGGGAGGCACCTGAGGCTTCTTCTGCCATGTGAAAAAACAGGAGGGGTGGAAGTCCTGGGGTTGTGTGCTCAGGTGTAATCACAGGTATGGATTTACCTTATCACTCCTTTGCTCTGCAACACAACTCTGACTCCTTAAAGGCTTTTTTACAGTTTAGAAAATATCCTGGAAATGAGCCCTTGTTCATGAAAGTTTAAAGTTGTGTCATTTCCACTCTCTCCTGTTTGCCCATGAGCTTGATCCATCCAGGCTTCAAAGCCAGGGAAAATGCTGCTTCTCACCATTTAGCAAGATCCTCTTGTAAGCAGAAAGGCCCAGCATTGAAACATAGAATATTGAGACAGTTCTAAATATTTCACTTCGTTGTCAATACCTTGTAATTCAAGAAGACGAATTTTGTGTTTGCCTCCTACCAGTGAGGTTATATTTGCTTTGAAATATAGATCTCAGCCCTCCAAACTCAAGTTTGCTGTGGGGTATGAAATTAGATAAGCCCTTTGTATGGGTGGAGTTCACTCTAAGTAACAGCACTTGCTGTGGTAAACCATTTTGTTCATCATCTCTTTTTGCTGAAGTGAGTCCTCGGTGTGGTTTGGGTGCACCACTTGGGTAACTGCTGAAACTGCTGTGGTTTCAGAATAGGACCTGTTTTGCTTTTTTCTGAACTTCTTTTCCCCTGAAAGTATTAGCAGAAAAATCAAGTAAGGGTTACAACTGTTTGCCTGCCATACCTCAGAACGATGAGCAGAGTCATGTACAAATGCAACATTTTCCAGCAAATGGAAGATTCATGCAGTCTCAATTATGACTATATTTTGCAGTATTGCAGTTTTACCAATGTCCATCAGTAGAGGTGGTAACTCAAACTCTGGTTTGGGTACTTTTGCTTGATGTTGTGGAAAGCCCATACCCACATTCTTGACACACTAAACATGGGACTGCAGAAATCTTTGTGTAGTTAAGATGGGACGCTTTTTTTGAGAATCAGCAAAGACATCAGAAAGATAATGCTGGTGGTGTTGTTCTTACTAATTTGTGGCTAATAAATGAGTAAATTTGAACAGCTAACTGGACCAAACAAAGTTCTGCCAGGCCTCAAAACCAAATTTGCAGAGTGTGGCAGGATAATGTGAGCTGTGAACAACATAGAAAGGGCACTAAAAGAGAGATTTGGGCTTGGAGTTGGACTTGATGGTTATCATGGATTCTCTTGTGGTTGATGTATTCAGAGTAGGTGCTACCCTTAAAATTGCTCTGCAAAAATAAGCCTGATTGCATAAGGGTTTCCCTCTCACTTTCTTTTTTTTTTAATAGAAAAATTACCACCCTATTCTATTCTTTAACATCTAAAACTCTGAAGAAAATGGCACTCAGTGTGTAAAATGAAAGCTTTCAATATCATTAGCAGTAACTCTCATTATATGGTGACATTTCCTCTACAACAAAGTGATTCTTTGTGATCTTTTGTGAAGATGAAGCACAAGAAACTCTGATGCTCTGTGCAGGTTCAAAACCACCCAGGGGTTTGTGCAAAAGCCTTAAACAGGCCACCCAGAAAAACCAGTCTTGCTGAACAAATACGTTGCAAACGCAGCATTTGTGTTAACAGTCACCAATTCCACAAAGTGGTTTCGCTAGCAGAAGATTTAACCTAAGACAAAAAGCAGCTTAAAATGGGTCAGTTTTACCTCCATCAATCCAAATTGGTTTTGGGCAATACAGGGTGAGGTATGAGGGGGAATTTCCTTGCTGGTAAATGGCAATAGAGGATGGGGAAATAACCTATAAGGCTCTTGTTTTGCCTTGACCAAAAGTTGGAAATGCAGATACTTTAATTCTCTATGTAATTCTACAAGGCCAGTTTGGATGGAGCTTGGAGCAACCCAATCTAGTAGAAAGGGGGTTAAAACTGGATGAACTTTAAGGTACCTTCCCATCCAAACCATTCTGAAATTCTATGACTCCAATTTAAAACAAGTTTAAATAAGTTGCTCTTTTCTGTGGAGCATTACATCCAAAATGCTGAGCTGCTCATCCCTTGCATGTCCCCTGGCATGGGATGGCAGTGGCAGTGGTGAGGTCTGGTCTCTTCCAACTCAGGATGTTCTATGAATGTTCTAAGTTCCCCGGGCAGTCTGGAGTATCCTTAAGTTTTTAAAATGTTGTGGATTTTCTGTTGTGAATCTCTTTTGGTCCAGTCTAAATCCATTCACCTTTTTCCTGATGCAAGACTTGCAGGACTGCGATCAAGTTCCCCTCAAACACTGTCAGGACTAAACAAATCCAGTTCTATCTCCTACTGCATGTGCCTTGTTGCCTTGTTTTCCATGTTTCTGTCTGTCTGCTTGTTCAGCTGGGGACTTGCTTGCTTCCCATTTTGCATGCAGCTCGGTGCCTGCCAGTGGTGCAAATATTGCACCTGAGTGTGACGTTGGCACTGCACTGATGAGAGTCTGTGTGATTCCCTCTGCTCCATGTAAACCTGATT